GACCTTAATATCACTAACAATACAATACAGGAGCTGGAGATTATTCAAGCTTTGTTTTAATAAAATTTTAATCTAAAATCATAAAGATTTTTTTTTTATGAAAGATATAGATAAATACCTAGAATGCCACTACTAGTAAACCAAATGGTCAGATTCTTAAGAGGTCTGGTGGCAATAAAAATTTAAGATTTACCCACTATTTAATTTAATATTTCCTTTTTTTGGGGGGTCATCATGTAATACTCTACAGTAATAAATATGATTTTTATTGCAAAAAAATATGACTGTAAATTAATTGACATCTATAATGTAACATAAAAGGGTATCATTTTACTAAAAATGGTTTAGTTGATGAACATTTATGGCAATGTTTAAAATGGGTTTTAAATTAACAAGGCTTCTTAATTTGGGTTTTTATAACAAAGGATTGCTAAATTATAGCTCTTGGTTAAATAGGGATTTTTTTTTTTTTTTTAAACAATTGTGGACCCCAATTGTCGGGCATTTTAAATTTACCTTGGATCAATCATTCCAGTCCCTTAAAGATTAATGATTTGACCTGAATATTTGTACTCTACTTTCTTACTGCAATTGAACATGTGTAATAGAACGGGTCTACCAAATAGTATGAAGCAGCATTAAATTCCATGTGCGAATGTGCCAGTTTCTGTCAAGAAACATCCATATAATTCATGAAAATGAACATATAAAAAAAACATTTATTTTCTCAAACTAAATAATTTGTGGATGAAGGATTAATTTATAGGTATAACAGAAATGAAAAGAAGGAAATGCTGATGTGTGTGTATGAGATCAAGGTATAAATTAGCTCAAAGGCTAAATGTATTTAACCCGAGATTCAATAAAAATCTGTTAATAGGTATATTTACAACGGTCCTATGTTCAAGGTGTAAATGTACTTTTCCTTGAAAATCTCCATCTCTCCCTCTGTATGTCCTTATTTCTACTTCAAATATTTACATGCACAGGTTAACCTCTATCGAAGCAGCAGAGTAGACAGGAATAAATCATCATGGTTCTTATTAGAGACTTGTGTATTCATCAGACTGTATGAGGTAAGCTCTCCAGGGTGACTGTTAATGCCTACAAGTAACACACATTTGTAGCAGCTAACATTTTTGCATGGTAAGTTATTTTCCTTACATCCAAAACATGGGTCATCTTATGGAACACATGCAGAGCTTTAAAATTAATTGATGACTCACGTCAATAAAGAGTATCCTGTAATTTTTTATAAATTAGATCATTTTTTGTTCTTACAATTTTTTCTTGCCTTGGGTTCACATGGGGCTGCAGCAAAGTGCAAAAGTGTATACAATAGAATTTATGTTTTAACAATTATGATTTGTCCGACTCTTAATTGCAGCACAGAAAGCACTTGTAAAGAACAAATTTTGCTACAACAGTTGAAACAAAAGGGTTCCCAGCCTGATATGTGTCCAACTAAGGCAGTGTTAGAGGATTTGTATGCATGTGTGGTGTGAATCGCTTTTGATATTTCTTACTACATCATATCCGAGGTTGACATGAATTACATAAAATATGGTGGTGTAACTCTTCCTGGGAATACCTAATTTAAATCAGTTATAGGACTATTTTTTATGACTTACCATATGCTAGGAAGAAAGTACCCAGGGCAGCAGAGTTAAATGAGCAGCTTATGGGGCTTCTGCTTCAAGCCAAGTGTAAGACTTACTGACCCATTTAATGTCCATTTGCAGAGGAAATGCGTATTGGACGTGACCCCATCTACCCCTCTATAATCCTACAAGAGATGATCTTGTCTCTAGGCAGGCAAAATTATCAGAGGTGACGGGAACTCAACAGTCTGTCGCACATGATTTTCCCATTACTTTGCGGTTTCGCTGCAAATGGTAGGCAAAATCAAATGGGTAAGATTTTTGTACACTTGAGAAATATTGGTGCAGTTTAGGAAGAAGCTGCATAACAAATGGAAACATCAGCAGTTTCTCTTCTTAGAAATGCTCCATTAAGTTATGGTCTGTGCATGCTTTGAAGTTCCTTTTTGAAGATAAATCTAATACTATTCTTGAACTTATAACAGCACACTCTTATCTTCATAAAAAGAGTGTGGCCTAATCCCATCACAGCTTTTAAAATTTTGGAATAGTATTTCCTTGACTGTTGGGCAATCCAAGACACACAGTCTTTCATGCAAACTCCAAAGATCCCCTAAAAAAAACTATAAATTAATCTGATATGTTTTTGAAATGTTTTGAAATGCCATTTTGGATAATTTAACTTGCACTCTTATTTGTTTTCCAATTTTATGCACCCCCCACGGTGCTCAAACACACCGTGCATTTTTGATAGCTTCTTTCAGTCTCTGGTGAGGCAGACAAACGAGCATCAAGATATTAAAGAGAGGGCGTCCAGTGACAGCAAGAAAAAAAGTGCCATCATTTATGTGTCAACATCAGCCATGTGGGAGGACAAGTTTATTGACAACTTGATGATCATCCTGGACCATTCTGCTTTACTCTCATCGACTTCAGCTCAACATACATTAGTCAGCAGCAGGGCCAGACTCAGGTCTCATTTGTCAGGAAGAGAGAGCAGAGTCCTTGTTGACATAAAAAAAGTGTCCCAAGGAGCGCATATACTATGTCAGGTAGAGTTTGCAAAGCTCGAAACTATACTCAACATTGAGAAAAGATGGGCTCATCACAATGACCGGGAGGTCTGTATGTTGAATGAGTAGGGAGCAAACACATTTTGAACATTTCTTTAAAACCAAATGCAATTTTCAACACCCTAACCACAAACCTTGGGCAAAGCATTGCTGAGAAAATAAAAAATATATTTTTCAAATTTATGAAAAAATAAAATGAATACATTTAAAAGGTTTAGTGTTTGCATACAGTATATACCCAGCACTGCTCAGCCCAGTGATTCGTAGAACCTCTTGGTGCGATTATAGCTATACATATTTTAGGCACCTCTCTAGAGTAAAAATGTTCTTTATTCTCTTTGAAGAGGTTCTACCCTAACGTCTTCCACCTTTGAAGATCCAGATAATTACAGTTTGCTCTTTTTTCTTTGCAAGATACAGTATCTGAAGCATGGTCAGAATAAATGAAGACTGTCAAAGAAAAGATATTTTATTTTCAAGTGTTATCTTAATTTCAAACTTTCCATTGTAAATCTGGTTATTTTTGTAGGGTTGTTGTCCCACTGTAAACCTATAGTTAAGTTTACAGTGTTTTGTAGCCTCTTGTAAGCTATCTTTCAGTATTTAGCCAAATATTTCCATTACCCCTGACCAGATTCCCTTTCCATTGAGGAAAAGAACTCTGTAATAAAAATGCTGCTATTGGGTTTTAGGGACTAGACCAGGCACTTCCAAAGTCGGTCCATGAGGGCTGCTGTCCTGCAGTTTATAGAGGTTTCCTGCTTTAGCACAGCTGATTTCCATTGATAGCTGAATAACAGGCTTTTTTTGAACTGCAATGATCAGAATCAGCTGTGTTGAAGCAGAGAAACCTCTAAAACTTGCGGGATAGTGGCCCTCAAGGAACAACTTTGGACATGCCTGTTTGAGACGGTGTTTTTAGGGGGCTGTGTAGTATTAGCTCTCCTTAAAACATAAAGTTAAGCATGTAAATTTTATTTTATACTTTCACACTTGGAAGTCAATCTGTGCTCAAAACCTTTATGACGCCACTTATAAAAAAAAGGGTAGTCATAATGTGAATAAATCAGTATTAATTGCTATAGTATGTAAAAAATATAAAAAGTTACACTGGTCTTAACTCTTAAAACAATTAAACCTGTTAGCATAAGTCGTTGCAAGATTTTTGGTTGATTAATCTTAAATCAATCCGATTCCATTATGTAATTCTTTACAAAACATTCAAATTTACTTGCAAAATCCTACTACGGAATTTATTTCTATCCTTGTGCTTCAGAGGGACAATAAAAATTCCAAGGTGGGATAACGAAAAAGTAACTGTAGCTGTAAATTCCTGGCGTATAAATTCTCATTTGAAAACGGGGTCTTATTCTTTGTCAAAGTAAAGCCTGCCTTCTTCTGGCAAGACTGAAGCTGTTCCAATGACTGAATCCAATTTAGTAGCCTTAGCCCAAGCCCTATCAATACCAAAGTGGACAAGCAAACATATTAATAAATCTTAAGCTTCCTGATAATCTGTGGAAAAAGTTGCTTGACCTCTGCGACTCATCAGTGACTACCCTGGGTATTTCTTGGGCTTAGGACCCTGAGTGTAAGGGGATTAGGATAATTGCTGTTATTATATTTTCTTAGCAAGGGCTATCACAGACGTGGGCTAGCTACTTCTCTGCTCTTGACAGCTTAATTAAAAACACGTGCAGCTGTGGTGACCCTGGATGATTGATCCTTCTCCCTTATGTCTAAAATCTTTTTTCTTTGCAAGACCTTAAATCCTGACACTTCTGTCTAGGAGCGTGAGATTTTTTCTTTTTTTTTCTTTTTAATGGCCAACAGAGATTTAGTACTTCAGCATTTCTTTGGGAAAGATCTAATCTTGCCCTGGGCCAGACTTTACACCTGTCCGGGCATGCATGTTTCCTGAGTTGAATACATAGCTCAGCTTTTCCCTGTCTCGCTTGTTCTTGAAAAAAGGTATATGCTAGCAGTGGTACCCAAAGCTTTGGCACCTGGTACTCTGGTAATGCAGGGATGGTAAACCTCTCCAAATTCCCTGGATAATGATCCTCCTTGAAAAGGTAACGGGCTTCAAGGTGTTGTTTAACTCTTCTCATAGGCTCAAGATGCTTTCCTACTGAGATCTTCCCAGAAGATATTTTGGACATTTAACATTAGAAATTCAAAATCAGCCAGCTGGGGAACATGATACCCAGTAAATGTAGAATACTAACACAATATAAAATGCACTTGTTAGGATTTTAAAGCACCATATCAGCAATATATTTTAAATGAAGGTTTGTAGAAGATTGTATGAGAGATTAGTTCTTACCGTGAGCAGGGTCAGGCGGGCCAAACTCCAGGTTGTATCGCAGGACGTAAAAGTTATCCCAAACATAGAGCTGGTTATCTCTGGGATTATAATCCAAAGCTGCAATGTACTGGTACTGATTGGGAAAGTGGATATCAACGAATTCCCCACGATTCAGTTTTGTGTTATAAATGTAATCTATCAGGCTCTTGCTGACCTCGCTTTCATTGTCTTCATAGGTGGAGCGCACAACGTAGAGTACTCCACAAACCATGAAGGCATTGGAGGCTGAGCGCTTATCATACGCAGTTTCCCACGTAGCCTCAAACCGAAGTGTGTACGGGTTCAGTTGGCTGATAACCATCATGCCATTGTTCTGCTCTGTGGCATATATCACCCAAAGACCATTCTCGTCCACTGCCAGGTCGATGTCTGTTTTGCCTCCCCACTTGTAGGGCGATGTGTCATGGTAATTAGCGTTATTAATTATCGCCTCGCCGCTTTTGATGCGAGTCCGCAGATCAAACTTCACAATGTTGCGCGTTCGCTCCTTGTTGAAAAACACGGCCCCATCATAAACCACAAATCCAGTCCCGTCCACTCGGTGAGGCAGCTTGTAGGTGATAGTGTGCCTGGCATTTTGGACATCATCAAGGGAGGAATATTCAATTAACGTGTCTGTCCTGTAAGGAGTCCAAGGCATGAAGTAGATTTTGTCGCCAGCTTGAAGTGGGTCTTTGCACCAGGCCCCAGCTTGCTGCTCCACCTCAAACCGAAAGGAAGGCTCACCGACAGCTTTCAGAGTCCCAGGACAAAGAAAAACTAGCAATGGGAGAAGAGTAAAATGAGAAACAGGTGCAGGTTAATAGATGAAACATGAAACTATAAAATTTACTCACAACATATTCTCAAGAATTAACTTCTTTTACATCTTTTCTAATGCAAGTAGTCACATATCCTGTTAGCCAATATACACAAGCAGTACAACCATATTAGTCATGTGCATTGAAAGAAATGCAAAAGTTATTTAGAAAAACATTAAACTGTAGTGTTTGAAACATAAAAGGTTGGCCTCAAACATTTTTAGCTAACTAGAACAAAAAGGGGAGGGGACAGAATGAAAAACGCATCCTAAGAAAACAATTGATCCTGTAAACAACAACAAAACTAAATAAAAAAGTCCATGGTAATAGATGGTAGAGGTTATGATAGAGCAGGAGTCAGCCGAGTCTGCAAAAGTGGTTGTGAATATACTTGCACTGTTCTCATTTACACCACATTCTTTACAGTATATAACAGCAAAGGTTTGTCTTTACAAAGTGGTGCAGATATCACATCATTGCATTTTGGTGTACTTTAACTAAGGGTATGTTGAGGTGTTTTGGTTGTTGCTTTGAGGTATCGGAGATAAAGAATCAACAGAGAAAAGAGAAGCAAGTGGTCAAGATGAGAGTAATGTTGAGGAAAAAGTGAGGAGGGGGTTGGAGAAAAGGGGGACAGTAAAATGCAATAGCTTGATAAGAGGTCTAAGAAACACTGTTACCATAGCATGCTAAGGGAAGGGGTTTGGAAGCCAGGCAATATGAGATTCTGCTGAGTAGCAAAAGCACACAGGGAGAATGAGAGGAGGATGTCCCTAAGGACTGCAGCCAATACACCCCCCATTTACATCTTTTGGGCTGCATGTGTGCTATTTCTTTTATGGCCAGCCTCACTACTTGCCTTACAGCACTTCTCTGGCCATTAACATTACAGCTGGAGAAAGAGGGAAAGGGGCGAGGGGATTCTGAAAAGAAACATCTGCAATGTGTTTGTAGAGGCCACCATGAGAAAAAAGGTAATTTACAACCAGATGCCACAAAACAAGGAGCTAGGGTTTTGATCATGTCTTTTATTTACCTTTTTGCTCCACTTCTATTTTAAGCGTTGGAAGAGAGAATGAAAGGGGTGCAAGGGGAAAAAAGAGATTAATATGAATTAACTGTCATTGCTATGATTACATATGCAGCAACATGTTATGAGACATGGAAAAAGATGGGTACACCTATAAGAAACAGAAAGGTTGTGAGAAAGGTAGCTTGCAGCTGTCAAAGTCCTGTTGTAGAAAAGGTGTTAGGTTACTGTATAACACAAAACTGGCCTGTTCACAGTTGATATGTTCATAAACAGTTGGTTTGGAGTGGTGGATGGATTTTATACAACGCATTAGCTGTGTAATGTTCCGGATTGCAACTAAAGCCATTTTTTTACATGTTCAGCATCATTTAATTTTAACAGAAAAACTCAAACATTTATTATTAGTTTGACCCAAATCAATGAATGTATAAAAAGATTTGAAAGAATGATTTTGGAAAGTCAAACTGAATAAGGCAAGACATTGGTTCTGTTAATCCACCCACCAACAACAACTTCAAGTCATTCTTCCATCTCTTTCTATAAACAGGTAAAAGCAAATCAAACCCCTCAGAAAAACAGACTGCAGAAAAATACCATATGCAGATAGATTGAACACTTTTTTTCAATAGTCTTATTTAGTAATAATTAACTATTTACAACCAGCCAAATTGTAAACTCTGTAGAAATGACAATTGATTAGCAAGGTGAGGCAAGTGTTAAGTGATAAGAAAAGGTCTATACTGTTTTAAAGAACATTTCTTGCTTAAAGGTATAGGGGAGGATTTTCTTTTTCCAGGTGGATCATCTAAATAAGTGGTCCTCCTTATTGTCAATCATTCTGGTGATATGTTTACATAAGGCTGTCCTATGTGCTTGTCCCCAGTTAGCTATCTTTTTCTGTGCATGCATGCTCTCAGGTGTATACAGGGTATGTGTTGTAAGCTACGGTTTTAGCCAGTCATTGAAGCTCACCTTTCTCACCACATTTCTTTGGAAATGGCCGAGGGTCATAAGAGAAAAAGTGTCTACGAAGTGTATGAGAACAAGAGAAAGGCCTCAGTAGAGAGAAAAAGACCAGAGTGTTTTGGGGGATTGTTTCATGCAATGGCATACACTGGAAGAATAGGTTGGGCTTCCCACTGATGCCTCAGTTACAAAGTTTCTACTTGACAGGTGAAGTTCGGGATGTAATTTGGAGAAATCCATTTCACATCACTGCTAGTAATACAAGGAGAAATGGGCTTTTATGCTCTCGCAAACGATTAATAGGGTTCCCTCTCAGGTGTAGGTACAGGGTTGTACATTTGCATTGTTTTTGTCAACAGGGCGATTATTTTCAAAAAATAGGGAAGTCTGTTGGATTATTTACAAAAGCAGGAATTTATTTCCACATAGACAGCAAATTATAAGTGACTTTCAAGCTTAGTTATTTTTTTGCAAATTAACTTGCATTTCCTGATTGCCCTCATACACAACAAAAAATCTAAATCTAGATAAGTCATTTCTTTTTCTTAAATTAGGTGCATTTGTTCTTGAATTGAGGAGGTAAAAGAGACATTTTGCCAATGGAACAAGACAATTTACACTTAAAATAAGAAAACACATTTGCATTGTTATTTTTATTACTTGCAATTATGCATTGTCTTATTTCAAGTGCATATTATCTAATTATCTTATTTTAAGAGTAAAATTACTCATTTCATTGGCAAACTACTGTATCTCATTTACCTACTCAAATTAAGGGTGAATATACTTAATTAAAGACATTTTTAGTTATTTCTAGATTATTTTTGCAGTGTACCCCTAAAAATACAAATTGTAACCAATTGCTTTTTCTCGGGAAAAGGTCTCAGAAGCTTGTCAAAGAAGACAGCAGACCCAAGAACTTGAAAAGAAAAGTTGGGTAATAGAAAGTACTCCAAGCTTTCAAGATCTCAGGAAGTAGGGCTGGGCAAATAATTGCATTTGCAATATAATGTAATTTAACAAAATGCAATTTTCAATTCGCAGAGGCACTTAATTTTGGTCACATTACATTTAACAAGAGTAAGACGCTTACTTTCTCACTCCAGCCTTTAAGGTGGTGGGAATACCCTTAAAGTGGGTTTGCAGCCACACAGAAGGGAACAAAGAGTTGCAAATCCATGCATGCGAGTAGAAACCAGCACTTTTTCACAGAGCAGTAGCATTGTTTTTTCTGATTTTTCTGATTCTCAATAATCCTGACATCAGCTTGTAATAAATCACTTAGAGCAGCATTTTTCCATGCTGTTCGTCAACTACCACTGCCCTGTGTGTTTTGGGTGTCTCCTTGGTGTCACACACCCTACTTAAATGAGTTGCGCACCTGTAGCCCTTGATGGCTGCTTAGAAGGATTTCATTTGAATCAGTTGGCTATAAAAAGGAGATTTCTAACCATACAGAGCAGAGCTATTTAAAGACCAAGAATGAGAACCACTGATTCAGAGGTAACAACAGAAAGTCCTGGGAGTCGGATGAGGCCAAATCGAAAAATAGCATTCTGTCCAATATACAAAGTGTTAAGTGTGGGCAAAAACAGAAATTTACATCACTTTGCCTCACTTGCTTTCCTTCAAATTCACAATTATAAACTAACTTGTTGTTTATTATATAGAATACCAATAATATATTTGAAATTTGATGATAAGTAACGGCATTTGAAAAAGCATAAAAATATGAATGATTGTGCAAAGTATATTAAGGCATAGATTCTAAATCCATGACTATAAACTATAAAGGTTTTAGTAAGAAAAATTCACACTCCTTATGAAATTATGTTAACTAAAAAGGCTAAAAAATAAGTGTTCTTGAAAAATATCACAGTATTCAGACCTCATTGTGGTAAAAAGGCAAGGAATTGCTGCATTTTTACTATATGGAAATGCTAAGAACATTCAGTACATGCAATAATGGTAAATACTATTGCACCTTTATGTGAATTAAGCTTTGCAAAACAATTCTGTACCATTTCCCCGTAGACAATGTTATTTCTGAATACTCACTTGGATAGATCCTGTGTACAAGTAACACACTTTGAGAACATTTCAGATTAAAAGCACATTAGCTCAAAAGGTTTATGATTAAGGTTTTAATTATTGTAATATGTTTATTTGATTGGTCATCTAGATTAGCATGTTTAAAGTCACTAATGTTTGGTTGCTGTTGTTGTTTGACTGTAAGCACAAATAGGTATAAGATATTAAATAAATATCCAGCTCGGTGACTCCACTTAAAAGCTTCAACTGACTTTTTTCAATATGTTAAATCTCTTTTTTTGTTTATTTCTATTTTGAGAATACAACCACTCAAATGTAAAAAAAAAAAAAAAAAAAAAAAAACATACACAAGCTCTGTGAATCAAATTTGCTACTTAGATAAACCAACTAAAAAATCTGGTCTGCGTGGATGACCTTTTTTGAATTCAGACAATACTAAAATAAAGGATTCTTCAAATATTGCTTTATATATACACAGTGCCTTGCAAAACAGTGCCCCCCATTGAACTTTACAAACTTTTGCCATATTTCAGGCTTCAAACGAATATCTAAAATTTATTTGCTTTTTTGTAAAGAATCAGCAACAAGTGGAACAAAATTATCGGGTACTTAACACTTTCTCAACAAATAAAAACTGAAGAGTGCAAAATTAATCAGCCCCTTTGATTTTAGTGCAGCTACCTCTCCAGAAGTTTAGTGAGGGTCTTTGAATGATCCAATGTTGACCTAAAAAACTGATGATGATAAACATAATCTACCTGTGTGTAATAAAGTCTCCATAAAAAATGCACCTGCTCTGTGATAGAGGTCTGATCACAGAGGTCTCTTTAAAGAGCAGAGAGCATCATGAAGAACAAGGAACACACCAGGCAGGTGCAAGATACTGTTGTGGAGAAGTTTAAGGCTGGATTTGGATACAAAATATTTCCCAAGCTTTTGAACATCCCAAGGAGCCCTGCCAAAGAGACAATATTGAAATGTTGGAAGTATCAGACGACTAAAAATCTACGAAGACTTGGCTGTTCCTCTAAACTTTCAGCTCAAACAAGAAGATTGATCAGAGATGTAGCCAAGAGGCCCATGATCACTCTGGATGAACAGTAGAAATCTATAGCTGAGATGGGAGACTCTGTCCATAGGACAACAAATATATATTAAGTATTAATTATTTTGAGTCATTTTGCACACACGATTTTTCATTTTTTTTGTTTGCTAAACAAGTTTAAGTTGTACAATAATTTCCATTCCACTTCATTTTGTCCCACATATTGATTCTTAAAAAAAATATTTTTTTTTTACTTTATATCTGTAAGTTTAAAGCCTAAAATGTGGCAAAAGGTCAAAAAGTTCAAGGGGGTCAAATACCTTCCCAAGGCACTGTATGACTGTTTTCTTCCGAGTAAGAAGTTAACATCCGTACAAAAAACAAATCATTTTGGTCAAACATTTTGGTTTCCGGGCTGTACGGTGGCGCAGTTTGAAGTCATGTTGCTTTGCAGCAGGATGATTCAAGATTCAATTCCTCGTCCCAGTGTCTTTCTGCATGGTGTTTGCAAATTCTCTCTGTGCATGCGTGGGTTCTTTACTCTGACTTCCTCCCACAGTCAAAAACATGACTGTTCGGTTAATTTGTATCTCTAAATTGTCCTCCGCGTGTGTATGAGTGTGTGTGTATGCATGGTTGTACGTTATTGTGTGTCTCTGTGTTGCCCTATGACAGAATGGTGCTGTACGCTGCCTCTCACCCATAGACTGCTGGAGATAGAAAAGGCTGGTTTTACTCACTTGCTCAGTAAGTAAAACCAACAATTTACCTTATCCTACCAATTTAACAGAACCTTCCTCAGGACCTGAAACTAACTACCTTGAACAATTTACATCCATTTTAAGAACAATAGATAAATCTTCCAATAAAATTAGACATTTTTAGGTCACATTTAATCAGCTCAGCTAAATTTGAGTCAAATGTTGAAATTATTTTGATTGTTATAATTCCCTGC